GAAAGATACTCGCTGCTGGTTATTTTTTGGCAACGAGCTTTTTCGGGAAAAAACGGGGTTTTTATGAGAAAAGAAAACCAGTAAATGTTGATTATCTTCTAAAAATGAGAGGGTCTCTTTGTAGGAATATGTTAGAGCTTATCTCTCACATAAAAAAATATGGAGTCAAGTAGATGAATTCGGTACTTCTCCGGTATAGATATAAAATCTATTGAATTCTACGTTTTAGATTTGTGAAATACTGGTAGTGTTCCCAATAATATGTAATGTTTTATCCCTTGAGAAAGACTCATTTTCTTTAGTACAAGCTTTTGTACATGCTATACTAGATCCTCTAGAAATCTTAAGTAATTCCACTACATAATATGTTTATATATACTTAGGATGTAGCTTTCTCTAAGATAGTGAGGTGGATCTCTCCTATCCCAATTCAGGAAAAAAAGAACAGTTGTCCTTGACGTATCAGGTTTGCTTAGTACTCCTTTCGTGATTGCTGGTTTTCAGTCAGGTAGTTTTTTCGAGGCAGATTTCTATAACAAAAAGTAATTACCGAAAATCTGAGGCAATCACAAAAAGTGGGCGATTAAAGACTCACGTTCTTTACAGAAACAAATTGCGTTATTATTCTTCCTCCACATATAGTCCTCATCAAAGGCTTATTTCTCGAAGATTTTCATTCTAGAGAAAATAGATTCATGTAGGGTGCATCGATATCCTTCACTTCTTCAGCGTGTATCTATTGTTAGTGTACGGCAACGATTATATGAATTCAACATACACGAAAGTAGCTTAGTTGTAATTATTGCTCGGGTCCAAGTGAAAATACTTTATGATAAAAAATTGCGTCAAAGGATTATGCTCGACACAAGCTGTTCCCTCGGAAAAAAAGTTAGCTAGTTAGAAAAAAAGTTGGTTACGAACATGTATCAGAAAGTAATTGAATGAATAATGTCTGTCAAACAGACCTATACAATTAGTCCGTAGTCCCCACATATTGGACAACATTGCGATCTGGCAATACCGACCACCATAACAACGTGACAGCTCGGGCTGCCTCGAAAGTATAGAGTCAAATATAGGATGTGATGTTAAGTGTTATGAATTATTTTGCAACGCATCTGATGTGTACCATGAGAAATAATTCATAACACTTAATTTCAAAGCTCAAATTGCAAGTACGCCAACATAATGTCTTATGTGTGACAGTAGCTTTAAGTTTTATGGGCAAATTTATAGTGTATGAAATATGTCTAATAGGTTGAAGGAATTACCGGGCTTGGAAACGTACAAATAACTAGCAACAAAAATTAACATAATTGTACTTTCCCTCACTTCCTACAGCCCCATCATCCAATTTTGATCTCTGTAAAAAAAAATCTGACTATGATCAAGATACTCTGAAACAAAGCATGAGCGATTTTTTCTCATTTATTGCCTGTAGGTCCGCCGATACTATATCTGTTTAATGTATCGTCCTTGGCTTAGTAGTATAACAAGGTGTGAAAGTTCCATCGAAATCCGAGCAGCCCTCAATGTATAAACGGGCCAGATACTACTGGACAGATCGACAGACCGATAAGGACATGTACATATCATAACGTATGTCCTAAAAAATTTGGCTTTAATTTCAACAAACACCATACAATATCAAGTTGCCGTTGGAATTAAAAGACAGATTTTATACGGACAACGTAGAGGAATGCCATGACAATGTTAGATACAAGCATAAAGCGAAATTTGCAGATAAAATGCTTGTCTGGTGCGCAATTTCTAACAGGGGTGTACGAGTATCCCAACCATTTCTGGGAAGAGGTTGTGGCGAATTTTTGAATAGTCAGAGTTACATTGAAAGCTGCCTTTCCAAATTGCTTCAGTTCGTCCATTAACACCATGCTAATGACATATTATGTTATGGTCAGACCTAGCATCATGCCATTACTCGAAATACCCAAAACAGTAGAGGATATTATGTATATATATATATATATATAAACTGAGAGAAGTTGATCTGAATTCCGTCCAGGACCTCATGATAGACAGTCGCAGAAAGTTGCATCATCTCGTAGAGCAGAATGAGCTCCACATGATTCTAGCGTATAGTGTAATTGAGTGTTGAGTTGTAATTTATGATAACTATTTAGTGTTTAAATAAAGTTTTTCATTAAAAAAAAATTCGATAAACATCTTGTTCCAAAACTTTTAAGACATACGGTATAACATCCAAAAGATTTTCAAAACTTTTCAAGATCTCAGTGCTTCCTTGCCAGTGACGCAGGGTGCAAAAAAGCGAGAACAGCTTCTGCTTCAAAGAATAAACATAAATTAAAAGTACAGTGCAACCCGCTTATAATGGACTCGGCGGGACTGTGACAAATAGAATATTATAGGCGGACGACCATCTTAAAAGAAACACTACTTTTTAATGAAAAAAGCCCAGAAATAACAGATTAAAAGCTTAAAATGTGTTTGTTTAACGTATATTACATAAATAAAGATACATACAAAAAAGTTACACGTAATTTTGAAATTTGCATTTTTTACAGAACATGATACACATATTACGGGCATACGTACTGTGTGGGTATGTGTAAGAACCATAAATTATTTGGTAAAAAAGCTAGCAATTTTCATTTGAACAGACTGTTTTTTTTGTATAATTATTTAGAACAGCAAATTGATTTTATTTAATTTGGTAAGTGTGGCTGTACTGCCTGAACATAACGTTGCAACTTTTTCACGCAGTCTAATGCCTCCTTAGTTGTCACTGGAAGCTCTTCTTCATCGTTGTTTTCTAGTTCGTCTTCCTGTTCGTTATCAACGGATACTTCATTAACCAAATTGGAGTCTGATAATTCCTGTGTTGCTATTAAATTAATGTCAACATTTACATACTCATTAAATTTGTCTATATTCAGTAAACACTTAATTTTCAGTTATTAACTTAATGGTCAACGATTTGAATCAGAATTGTAGATTCCAAACAGGTTTCAAGAAACAGGGATTATTTGCATCCGAAAATATCTAAAAATCTTTCCCATAATTAAGAAGTTGGCAACCAAATATGAGGTCCAGCTTCAGCAATAGAGATTCTTCAACTGCTGGATAACCACAATGCATAATAAAGTTTGAAAGGGATCAAATCGTATAAACTTGTGTAGTGTACTTTGTCTATAGCAGCACATATCAGCGAACTACAGAAATCAAATCTGATCCAAAGCAAAGTAAGGTTTCAGCCAGGACGCTAGCAATATATTAAAAATAAAGTTCAAGGTCACAAAACCTCAAATGTGGGGAAGCGCTTGAGCTCTAATTTTGTTTGATATCGCTGAGAGAGAGGCTGAGAGCAGTTCGTTAAGGGCTATTGAAAGGGGAGGACAAAAGTAATTCGCGAAAGGTGATATTTTAATGAGTCAGATGAAAAGCTGCGGCCGAGAATATTTCATATTATGTATGCTGATAAAGAGCCATCTGGCTACCCGGTTTTGCAATTATTTCGTCACTTTCATCCTTATTAAATTATTTACTGGCTTAATGGGTTTTATGTCACGAAGGGCGCAAAGCATTCTGGTAGGGTTCGAATTCCAACTTCGGCAGGATGCAGGAGCGCACTAAAAAGATTTCGATAGGAACCGCTGCTTTATATCTCTATTGATATTACAGTTGGAAATATAAATCCTGAGGGATGAACAAATCGTCGCCTTTCTCACGAAGTGTCCTAACTGACAAAATACCAAAAATTGAGATAACTCGCATATAGGTGTATTCTTCCATGCTGGTTAATCTGACGAAGTGGCATAACTATGATCTATTAGTGTAGGCAACAAATCATTAACCCAAGGGTGTCTTATCTGCAAAGGTCTATATATAATTTCCAAGAAGAGACCTAAATGGAGATACGTCTCTTATACCCAATTGCACCAACAACAGTCCGTTATTCTCCACCTATAGGATAACAGACCGTCAGATACAGCGAATGAGCTTCAAGTTCCAATCAACAAATTTTAGCAACCAATAGCTATGAAATGTTGAAAACAAAATACTGTCAAAGTATGAGATGACAACTTGTCATTGAAACATTACCAGCTTATTGAATATTAAGCAATTACATATAATTCAGTCAAAATTTTAAGAAATGTTTGATTTTTGAATTAATTTCATGTTTTAATTACTATTGTTGATTTTTTATTCATGTTTATATTATTTTCTTCAATTAATATGTGATACTGGGTGTTTTTTCCTATAAACCTCTTGCAGATAGCCATTAAGCACCTACTTGATGACAGGCTCTACAAAAAGATATTGCTCGTTTCTAAACATTCATTCATTTACTTGCCGTTCATGAGAACCATTATGGCACCTCATATTGATATTCCCACAAAACCATTCAGGTTTTTTGATATCCATACATCCATAAAGTTGAATATTTTTCGTTGTTCGGAAACTGAACAAACATCCACACTATATTCACAGCGATTAAGAATGTCCCAAATATATGCCTTAAAGCTACCAGCAAACCTAAAACCTGCAAAAAAACTACATGTTTGCCATATTTTTCTTTTTTCACGAGTACACATTCTAGGTAATATTTATATTAGACATTATTTCAATACAGCTGATTATTGCATTTCAAGGAGTGACACATGTGTGGGATCTGTCAACTCTTGGTACCAGTCACAAAACATATATACTCTGAAGGTTTAATTCCATGCTATTCAATCACATCACGGTGACTTATGTGGTTGTCAGCGGCCATTTTGTGAGGGTGCGACAGGGTTGCCAGATTGTGCATTAACCCTTTCGGTACGGCTTGTCACTGAACATTTTTATTCCTACGGCCTGAGACTTTTACATTGGTCATTGGCCTGCCGTCGGAAATATCCGTCACCTAAGAAAACTACCCACATTTTATGAAATAATATGAGTAAGTTATATTAAAACAATTATTTTATTAGATAAAGTTACAGAAAACATAAACACGTTAAACATTAGAACATTAAACATTAAAAAGTAGCCTCTGTGTGATATATTTTGGAGCAAGGGACCACGCATAATCCAACGTCACATTCTGGGCACATATAGCTGGACTCTTTTCTTTTTGCTTGCTTCTGCTTTGTATGGGAACAAACCCAACATCTTCTGGATCCAACCTTAGTACTGCCTGGTTTTCGTGGAACTGACACCGGAAAGTGTCTATTCTGAAGCCTGGCATTGCCCAAATCGCAATGTATAGATTTTACTATGCCATACCTGCAAAAAAAAGCATTTAGCAAATATGATCGAAAACTACAAAGAAATCTTTACCTGTCTATAAGTTGAGCAATAACCGCTAGATGAAAATTGGCGAATGAAGTCTTCTTAGTATGTCTTGTGGAAAACATTGCATGTGCGTTTAGCAATGTTATGTCAATCGAATGGAAAAATAACTTCTTATACCATTTCAGACATTTTCGAGTGCAATCTACGCTACTCAGCATCATATCTGATCTGTCGACAGCCCCCATTTGACGGTTGTATTCCAGAACACATAACGGCTTTATTACATTTTCATATGTAGATCGATTTATTTTCGGCAAAGTAACCATTCTATTTTCATGCATACTGGTCAGCATCACAACATCCCGCCGATCTTTCCATTTTATTGCCAATAAATTTTCACTACTTCTCCAGTCAGTATCTCCTTGTTTTAATTTTTTATCAAATACTGGCATATGTTTCCTATTTTGCCTTACAGTTCCACATGAGTTTGTTTTATGTTGTAACAAAAAAGTTGAAAGTGTAGGGCTGGTGTAAAAATTATCCGTATAAAGAGAATGTCCCTTGTTGAGGTATGGCTCTAAAAGCTTTGCAACAACGGCCCCTGTAGTACCAAGATTATTCTTGTCTTCTGCTTTTATATTAGTGTCTTTTCCACAATATATTATAAAGTCTAAGACAATTCCTGTTTCGCAATCACACAACACGTAGAGTTTAATTCCAAAACGATGTTTCTTGGTCTTGATATACTGTTTAAAACTGAGCTTTCCTTTAAAAAGAATCATACTCTCATCTATAACCAAATTTTGACATGGATAGAATTGAGACTGGAAATTTTCTTTCAATATATTTAGCACGTTCTCAACCTATTACCAGGTGGAGCGATTTCATTATTGGAGAAATGCAAATATCTTTGTAATTGAAAATACCTGTCCCCTGACATATGTTTGCTAAATGCAGGTGAAAGCAGTAAGTGGTTTTGGGACCAATATTCCTTCAAGTTCACTTTTTTATTGCGAGGCATAAGCAACGTCAAAGCCAGAAAAACGTAAAATTCGGAACGTTCTAAATGCTTCCAGTTTTTTGCATTTTGTTGGCGTGCATAATTATTTGTTTCAACCAAAATAACATCCACTATGTTTTCTGTGAACAAACTAAGAAAATAGTCGACTTCCTGTGAGTTTTCGTCGAGGTTTTGGTCTTTTACACCGCTATTGGTCGTGTCAAATTCGTGTATTTTCGGTAGAAACTCATTTTTTGTCCAAATTATTTCCAGAACTGTTTGGTGAGTAATATTATATTCAACGTTTCCTACCTCTTCCTGCTGATTTTCTTGTTCATTTTCCGGTTCCAATTCATCCAGATCGCTCTCAGAGTCCTCAGAAGATGGACAATATTCGCTTCCGCTATCGAGAAAGGGGTCTTCTTCACTAACGTCAGACAAGTAAATATCTTCATCTACCAGACTTAAAATACTATTGACTTCCTCCTCAGTTAAACCACAATATCCGCTACAATCTACTTTACGCCTTTTCGGCCGCTTAGTGCCCTGAGACGAACTGACCTCCTCGTTTGACATGATCGAACGAACTGACGCTTCTGAAGCTTACGGTACATGGCATGCTACCATGCCTGAAAGGGTTAATATCCCGTTTCACCCTCCTGGTCCCAACTATTGAAATATACTCTACTATGCTTTATAAGACTATTCGTGACTTTTTTCCCAAAATCATTGCACAACATTCGAAAAAATGCAAATGAAAATTTAAAATTATTTCCATGACGCCGCAAAATAGCTCCGTCGGTACCTTGGGTTATACATCTTGACAGTAGGGATGTTCCATAGGATCCTATATTTAGAAGTATCAATACATTTCACGAGTACCGTCATCTTTCGATCCGGACTGTGTCAGAAAGAGTGACTGTCATTTGGCTGCGACATTACCCTGCCAAATCAGACATATCTTTCATCATTTTACAAAGAAATTGTACAAAATCTTCAAATTTGTGAAGTTAGCGAGTTTCACTTCATACGTTCTTACCAGACATGCCCAAATCATCAGTTGCTGCCGTGATATTCATCCCGACCACTGCATCCCCACGGCTAGGCGACCTGTATGTTAAATTTGCATTGATAGGGCAGCGGGTTATGCTATAAATCATATGTCACAGTGTTTGTGCACTGATTGCAACGGTTAGATGATACCAAAAATATTTTCATAAATAGGAGATCTTTCCCATTCCGGATCGAACAATCTACCAAAGATGCTTATAATCATGATACCTAGTAAATTTTCTCGAAAAACATTCAAAACCAGCAAATGTAAAAGATTCATTTCGCACCCTCCATCACGGGACGTGATCTTCGTTAGACTTAGCAACCCTGCGAGTGTCAGATAGATATCCCCGCCAGTCAAAAAAGAAAAATAGACAAACCATAAACATCATTACCAGTTTTTTTGATATTTGGACTTTATCTGTGAAACGTTTTTCATAATTTTTTGTCTATGTCCATAGTATTTGCATTATGCATCAGAGAGATGTAGGGATTGACAGGTCTTACACATATTATCTGTGTTTTACGATGGAGAGGAGATAAGGCTTTTATTGCTTTGAAGAAATTCATTAACCCGTAAATTAATACATGATTACTATTATGACGTAAAGGAAGATGAGGAATCAGATGGAATGTATTTTATATCCTATTTTCTTGCAAAATACAGACAAATCCACACTATTCAACAGGTATGTAATGATAACTTTCAGTATATTGAAGCTGGTAAATTCGAGAGTGCCATGCACTAACAAGCGTCCAAATCTGTTGCCACATTTAACAACTAGAAAATCGACCTATTATTTGCCGCATTCCCATTCGCTGAGGGGGATAACGGATTGTTAAATTTAAACCTATAACATATATCAAAATATATGAAATTTGTCCTGTTTTTTCTGTACAAAAGCATCATGTTGGTTTCAAAAAGTGGTCTTGTTTATACAGTCGAATTTTCACGATTTTATTCAATATTTCTATAGAAATCACTAATATTAAGAGACCTTTAACATCTTCTGTGAAATTGCATTTCGATAAGGTATTTTCCCATTGGTCCATAATATTAATGTTGGTGAAATCGGCCCTTACTGTGCAATAAGTAGTACGAAACGCTCCCATAACCCCGGAAAACTAACCATCGCGAATTTTACGACGCTACTGTTTTTTGGCTCATTATTTAATTGTCGCACTACAGCTATTTACCTTGGACTATTGTCTAGTCTTCTAGTAAGCCAGTGTGCTCACAGTAATGTATTAGATATCAACTGGATGTCTGTTAGTTTAAGTGCGCAATCGTAATTTTTACGTAGGTTAGTATTAACGGATTCAAAATTAAGTTTAGCGTTACAGGGTTAAGCTATTTCACCAAGGAAGCTTATGGAAGGAAAATGGAAATGGAAACGGAAACTAACGAATATGATTCTTTCTCTGATGATACAAGAGCCTATCCATTTGGTTAATGTGAAGTGCGATGATGCAAAGACGAAGTATGGGCTACCTGCCACAAATGAAAGATTCCTCTTATGTTGGAATCATTTTCATGAAGAGACAAAGTTTTGTTCTCAACATGGGATTCGTCAGCATGTTACTGGAAAAGATCAGAAGAAAGAGGATACCAAAGAAGGAAAGAAATGGGATTTCATATCAGTCTAGAAGATTATACTGGTATTACTAAACTAAAACATAAAAGAGTAAATGTGAAGAAGTTGGCAAAAAATTGCGTGGTGCCAGAAAGGAATATAAAAGTGCAAGAAGGTCGGAAAGAGTTGTTTTCACAAACAGAGAGAATTTATATCGCGATACATGGAAAGAACTACTACCAACCAAACAACCAGAAAGCTTGAATCTAGGCGATCCTTTACAATAAAATATTATCAGAATTCCAAAACTTTTTTGGAATTTTGCCCCAAGAAATAGAATGGATTATTATTAATTATGCCTTCGCTTTTTTGTGTAGCTGGTAATATGTCAAAAGATAGTGTGTCAATTAGTTGTTTTTCTTTTAGTTTTTATTTCAATAAAAATTGCTTTGATGCTTCGAGTTATTTTCTTCATCCTATCACTTAACACTTGTGTCATAATCTACATCAAGTTTAGGCATAGTTATTCAGGGAAATTTTGTAGGGCGTAGCCAACATTCAAAAGTCGATCTTAACTTTTTTAAATAAACTTTGCTATCAGCAGAACAACGATTACTTGAAAAATTAAACAGTTAACAAATTTTCTTAGATATTCGCCTCTTTTGCAGGAAATATGATTCTTTACTTATAAGTAAATGAAATAAATTGTGTATATCTTAAAAAAGTATAATAACAAGAACTCTAATAAAAATATGTTTTAGCTGACACTGACACTTTCTAACGTGCGTTAGACGATTTTGGCACTTTACATGCTACTGCGGGCTCCTTTGCCGCTTAAAGTGGAAGGGACACTCCTCAAAATCAAAAAATGTTAAAAACTTGTACAAACCCATTTTCTTTTAATGTAAAGGGTTGTCCAATAGGGACGCAGGAAAGTAAACGTCAATTTGAGATAGACGCCATCTTTCTTTTCTGTCACCGACATGTCATTTTTTTAGTTGAATGTTTACCATTGATCGCTATGGAGTCGTACTCGATTGAAGACCGCATTAAAGTTATTCAAGAGCACTACAAAAATGGTGCAAAAATAAAAAACACGTTTCGCGCGCTTCGTGAACATTTCGGTCGCAACAACCATCGGTCGTCTGGTGCGTAAATTCGAGGCAACAGGTTCTGTGGCAAATCTGCCAGGCTCTGGCCGGCCAAGGAGCGTTCGCACATCGGAAAATATTGCTGTTGTGAAGGAGAGTGTGAGAGACGATCCGAAACAATCAACAACGCGTCGATCCCAAGAATTGGGCATTTCGAGAACCAGTTTGCTCCGCATTCTCCACAAGGATTTGAATGTACACGCCTACAAGATCCAATTGACGCAAGAGCTGCGTCGGCCCGACCATTTTTCGCGCCGAACGTTCTCACATTGGCTCCTTGAACACTGCCAAATTGATGCCAATTTTTCATCAAAAATCATGTAAACTCATATTTAAATATTGTATTAATAATTGTTCATTTTCTCGAATAAAAGTGGTTATGTCCTAGAAACATATAGACACATTTCTCAGGTACTTTTTACTCCCATTCTGGGATATCCAATATTCTTCTCTATTTAATGACTTCTGTAAACACCAATTATATCATGTAAATACCTACCTTTGATTTATCTCTGAACCATTAGCATTTCCACGCATGGTTATTGTTATTAAATAGGGTATGAGAACTGTACTTTAGGGAGTGCACACGATGTTTCCGCACTTTTTGGATCTCCAATAAATATTTTGGATTACTTCCAATTAGAAACAATAGTTCTCAATGTATCGCATTCATTTCCCGAAGGGGAAGTTTTGGACAAGAGTACTTGTATCTTTTAAGAACGTGAACACTTATTTTTACATACTTTCTGCCCCCTATTTAGAGTAGTTCTGTGTATATCCAATGTTAATTATCCTAGAATTATGTATTAATCTTCGTAGTACTAAAACTTCTATAAAGACTTCGAGATACAGAAAAGTGTTCAGCCCACTAATATTCGCACTCGTGAAAGAAAGGTTACTGTAGATCAGGAGGAACAAATTTTAAATATCGTGGAAATCAACGCAGATGTCAGCACTCGGGAATTAGGTCGCCGCGTAGGACTATCGCATACCATAGTCCATAGAATCCTAGGGGAAAATTGGCTTTATCCCTACCATGTACAATGAGTGCAGGCCTTGTAACCAGAAGACTATCCTCGCAAACTAACATTCTGTCAGTGGTTTTTGCACAAAAGCATTGAAACTCCGGTTTTTTTAAAAACAGTCTAGCGACGGACGAATGTACTTTTACGCGAGACGGGATATTAAATTTTCATAATACTCACACGTGGGCCCAAGAAAATCCTCATACCATTCGTAAAGGTCGTAATGAAGCTTGGGTGGGATGTGGAGCACGACATTTTGAACACCTTCTTTAAACATAAAAAAGTGCGGTGTGGGTTTTAAACAGAAAAACAATGTATGCATCAAAATTTTTTTAATACGTTCAATAAACTTTCACATACCAGGTGAAGCGCTGAGACAGTTAGTGGTAAGTCCGTGGAGCGTTCGCACACCGGAAAATATTGCTGTTGTGAAGGAGAGTGTGAGAGACGATCGGAAACAATCAACAACGCGTCGATCCCAAGAATTGGGCATTTCGAGAACCAGTTTGCTCCGCATTCTCCACAAGGATTTGAATGTACACGCCTACAAGATCCAGTTGACGCAAGAGCTGCGTCGGGCCGACCATTTTTCGCGCCGAACTTTCTCAGATTGGCTCCTTCAACACCGCCAAATTGATGTCAATTTTTCATCAAAAATCATGTTCAGCGACGAAGCGCGTCTCACTTTGAATGGGACGGTTAACAAGCAAAACTGCCGCATCTGGGCGAACGAAAATTCCCGTGAGTATCAAGAGCAGCCGATGCATCCTGAA